AACCATGTGAGGAGCTTCTTCATGTACGTACGAATACAGGTGATGTTCTTCTCCTCCCAGTTTCCATTGTTGCATGTAATTGTGCCGTCTCCCTTCATCTCATACCTTTCACGGCATTCATAAGTTACCGAAGAGTCTGACAAGTATGTCTTCTCATAAAATGTCCTAATAACTGTATTCTTAACTTTAGGTGGCGGGCCGCAGAGTTCAGCAATAGCTGAAAGATATAAAATCAATGTACAACAAAATTAACTGTGGTTTATATCATTCATTTTGAAATTTTTTAAAAATGTAATCAACATAGCTCACGGCTGCAGGTTGTTTTCAGGGCTTCTATATCCCAGACTCCATCATTACAAGGTGGCTGGTCTGTATTAGCTCTGTATCCGTTATTACAATCAATTTCAAAGGTTTCACGCCCTCCAGGTTGTAGACTACGTCTCATTCTTCCATTAGGAAACTCAGGAGCTTCTCCACACAAACTATTTTCTGTAGAGCATGATTACAAACATTAAAACCAATCTTGTTCAAAAACTAAACATACAGGACTTTGATTTTCATTTACTTAACAAAAATAACTGGTTATGTTTTCGTTTCCAAAACTGAGAACACACCACACAACTTTTTGTCTTTGCAGAATTTGAAAAAGTTTGTAACACAGTTTAGCAGTCTGGTTTCAGCAGGCCAGATTTTTGTTTGACAAATAAAAACACTGGGCTTCACACATTTAACTGCAAACTGCACCTGACAATTGATCCCAGACTGCATGATTTATTAAACCAAATGAAGCTAAATAAACATTAGACTTTTGCAAAGCATTTTCCTAGGTTCAGGTTTGTTTGGTCCGTACTCCCTCTCTCGCTGTTTGCCAAATAGACTCAAAGACTGGGTCTCAATTCATGGGTTGCAGCCGACGTCGGCCACTTGCGTCACTGCCCCGCACCGTAGGCTGTCCCAATAGCTGGGTTTCAGTCACTTGGTTTCGAAGGCGGGGCGATCTCCACTGGAGGGCAGGGGGATAAAATGTCTATGGAGGAAACTACTGTAGAGAGTTTATATTGCATGGATTTAGATCCTATTTCATGATATATAACATAGCCAAATTGAGTAAAATTACCTTTAAAAAGTGAATTTAGCATAAAATGATTATTTATATGTTTATAATGATTGTTTATTTAGTAGTGAGTATTAAGTTACTGGTAGTTTAATGTGAACCTCATCTGCGGTCTCATTTATAAAGGATTGCGTGGAAACCATACTAAAAGTGAACGTACGGC